TATCATCAGCTTAGATGAAATAAAACTATTTTGTGCAGAATTTGATCTTGCATGGATTAATATGGGTTAACGAAGCAAACAATTTTCAAAAACTCAAGGATGTGGTTTCTGAACACATCAAGTGAGCCACAATTTTACAGCTTGTTTATTACATCCCAGATCTCCTTAAAGATCTAGGCTACAGAATATCAACTGGTACGATCCATTACAGAATTATCATTTCATTTCAATTATCATTATCATTTCTTCAATTGAAAATCCATAATCAAATACATAGAACTCTACAGGGAGGCTTATGTTACTTTATTTTTTTGGTCAGCCGGGTGTCTGACACATGAGGAAGCCCATCACCATGCTTAAGAGCATGGAAACCAGAGTTCCATAGATCCCATCTTAACATGGAAATTCAGAGACATTTGATGAAATGCTCACTCTCTCCCTGGAGTGATGCATCCTTCTTACCTAATTCCGGAGAGTATTAGGTGCCAGGTGGCAAGAGCCAAGGTTTGGGCACCCCAAGAGTGTGCATTGGGGTACTGCTGGAGTACAACCAGCTAAAACAGCAGAGCTTGCCATTGGGAGCACGGTCTGGCAAGCTTCCCGCTACTTGTTCAGCTCGGTCCACTCTGTCGAGTCCATTAGGGCTTTGGTTTGCAGATTTAACAGGAACTGAATGCAAATAGTCCCTGCCCCCAATGACTGGTCTGCCCTTCCAAATGCTGCTGATGAGCCAGCCTCACTGTGCTGTCAGTAGCAGTGCTCTGGAGTACTGCAGACCCGTGTTGCTCAGGAACTGGACAACCAATTCCGCCACAGAGGGATGGTTCAATTCTAAGATGCCTTTGCCAAGCATGTCACCTTGGAGCCATTTCAGCTCCAAGGGGACCCCATTTACTTCTTCCCCCAAGGAGGATAGACACTAGTTGTTTATTTGACATCTGACAAGCGCGGATTTAAGCCCTCACTGTTAGGTGACATGTCAGGTACCAGGAGCTCCCTGCGAGCTTCCTGGTGGGCAAAACAGCTCTTGAACTTCAAGTTTCACAGATTTAAAGATCTGGTTTTGAAAGTGACAGATTTTTAATTCCACCAGCATCTGGTTTCCAAAGTTTCAAAATTCTATTGAAGGAAAACAAATTAAATAATTTTGGAAATTAGAATAAGAAGCAATACTGTCCCAATCCACAATTCAGCTGAATTATCTAGCTAGTTGTCCATCATAAAAAAAAGTTGTCTAATAGAAGAGGAAAACAGAAATCCATTCTTTACAGTACCACAGCATGGCACTCTGCAATCCTGCATAATTATGTTATTTGCAATCAGCTGTATTTTAACATTATTTATTTGTCTCCTTTTTATATTTATTTTCAAACCTATTAGAGTCTGAAATGCCATACTCATAAGAATAGATTTGAGTCACAAATTACAAAAGAGAGAGAGGGGGAGAGAGAGGGAAAGAGTGTGAGAGAGTGGGGAAGAGAGAGAGAGATGGGAGGAAAAGGTAGAGAGAGGAACAAAGATAGAGAGAAGGAATGGAGGGAGGGAGATGGGAAAGGGAGAGGGTTGGGAGGGATAGAGGAGCTAAAGTATTCTTCAATAGGGCCAATTTGGCTGAAGAGAAAACACATTTGTCTGGTTCATGAAAGTAGGATAGTGGGATCTAATTTTATACAGTTTGTTAAGTGTGGCAAATCATTTGTTATGATCAAATGTTGCACAGCTGCAAGCTTTCTGGTTTTATAATAGTAACAGCGAATCTGAATAAAGCCGTACAGAACAAAAGTTATCCCCCAAAAACGTTTAACAGTCATTCAAGGGGCCCAGCAGCAAGAGTTACAATAATCCTTGCATTTGATATAGTGCCTTATCAAGTCTTTGAGACGTCTCAAAGCGCTTCACAACATATATTGTAAAGTGAACTTGACTGTATATTTTGTGGGGGAATTGCACCAGCCAATTGAGCACAGCAGTATCCCACAAACAGTCATGGACCACATTTTTTTATTTTTATTTCAAATGATTATTACCCCCAGAGTTAAATCAAACAGTCTGGACCACACTCCAATGCAGCATCTAAGCACTCCCTTCACTCAGCAAGCACTCACCTGCTTCACGCCCCCCTCCCTATCCATCTCACAATCAGGCTTTCAGACATTTTGCCCCTGTTCTCTGGGATACTGTCACAGAGTTCCTCTGACTCACTGTGTCTCTTTTGACTCAACTTTTGATCACCTCTCCCCTCTGCACACTCTTTGACTCTCACCCCCGGCTCGGGTGTTAAGCGCTTTAAGATGTCCTCCTGCCATGAAAGGCCTCATGTAAATATAATTGCAAATTGAATTATATTATATAATATGGGGTGGTTGGGGGAAGCAATGCACTGTTCACGTACCAACTTTCAGGTGGGACAACAAACCAATGCTCCGCCTACCTGTTCTTCGGGTGGATGTCAAAGATTGAATCATATCAGGACATCATTCAAAAAGAGAAGGGTGTAGTCTCCCAGTGCCAAGATCAATAATCTTCCAGTTGAATCGAACAAGCACCTGATGCTCCACGTGGGACCTTGCTATATAGAAAATGGCTGCCACATTTATTTTATTTGACAAAACTATAACTTTAACACATGCTATAAAATGCAATATTTAAAAATATATTATATCTGGGTTAGCGCCAGTTCTACCTACATTTGAAGCTAATGTTAATGTAACTGAAGTATTAAAGGGATCTTGTTTTTTTCTGTTTTTATATTTCTATAGCGCCTTTCACATTGAGCTGATGTCCCAAGGCACTGGTCTTAATAGTTAAAGAGTTGAAAATTATTTACAATCTTAGTAAAGTCCCTGCAGACAGAGATCCTCAGATACTATCTCACTCTCTGGTCTTTATTCCGATTTTGCTGGTTTGGGGTGACCAATCCATGATCTGTAAACTTCAAATCTGTTGTTCAAATATTTGAACCCGTTGTTCAATTACCACAATTTTGACCCTACAGTATTTTCGCAGTACACAACTGTCTTTTTGGGGCGCGTCCAATAGCTTTCATCATCATCGACAGCAGAAAAAATGTCACAATTAATTATTTGTGTCTGGATTTATGAACCCACTCTTTTGGAAGTTCAAATTTGCTTGAGAAACAAACCTGAGCAATTGTAAGTATACCATTTTAGATAGAAATGTGTTTGATTACTCTCTGGTTACAGTGTGTCATCCGTCTCTGTTGAGTAATTATTACAGCTCACTTATGCTGTGTACTTCTGCTCTGCCAAAGTTCATTTGCCTATCTTTGCTGTGGCTCCACTGGTGATCTTCTCAGCCACTCAGCTCTTGGAACACTTTAGCGATTCATTTGTCATCACCTCAAACACCTTCAAAGCCTTTCACAGCATGTGACACCACGCATTTCATAATTTCATGCTCCTCACTAAAGCAATGACCATAGTCAACCATAGTCTTTTAATTATTCAACACTTTCTCTAAGTAGTCTGATGACCAGCTAACACCTTGATCGTACTCTAAAATCATTTCATTATCCCTAAACTCGACGCAGATTCGGTGTTTCACTACAATATTACTTTGTTGGACCAGTTTTCATCTAAATACCTTAGACTAAGTAACAGAATTATTTGTTAAATAGAGAGAACAGTGTAATACAATACAATTTGGGATAATGAAGGATGTGTAAATGAAATAAAGGGCATTGAAAACATCCAAATGTTCCCACAATTTCACACACTTATGTTGAATTCCAGGTCTCTCTCTCCTCCTCCCCACCTCCTGCCTCATCAATCTCATCTCAACAGCTCTGGGAAGTTTCTCTTCCCACCTCATAGACATCTGTAGAATGACCATAACCAAACACTCACTTCACCAAAAAAATCTAGTCAGAAGCCCAGCTAGGTCACACATCACCCAATTAATCTATTTATCAAGCTACTATTTACATTAAGTCACTATTTAAAAGAATCCAGAACCAAGAAAAAAATGCAAGACAGAACGTGATATGTCCCATGCGATTCAATATTTATACAAGACCTAATTTCTAAAATTATAACAATTTTGTAACAATTACAGGTGTATCTGACATCATTACACTCAGATAAATACTTTAGTATCCAAAGTTCTATCCTTCATTCAGGGAAGTATTTCAGTCTGAGATATAAAAGATATACAGATAGTTCCGTTTCATTTAGATGTTTGTGAGCAAATCGTGGGTTAGGATCCTAAAATAACTTTCTAAAGCACACGCAACAAATACTACATAGTTTAAGCTTTGACTTTTAAGTGAAGGGGAAGCTCAAAATCCCTTTAAAAGGTACATTTGGAAGTGGTACTTGCTCGGTTAACCAAGAGCTTAAGGTCCATACCCTCCAACCTATAATAATAATAAATAATCCTTGCATTTGATATTGCACTTTTCATGTCTGCCAGGCGTCTCAAAGCACTTCACAGAATAACGCGGCAGCCAATTGCGCACAGCAGTGTCTCACAAACAGTCGTGTATGGAAGAGATCAAATTATAATTTTTTTTCTTGAGGGATTATTATCACCTACTACAACACTTGCAAACAAAGGGGTGGAAACTGAGGGTTCATGCATTAAATTATGTTAAATCTGATGCCATTTATTTACATGGCTGCCATGTTTCGCCCACAAAATAAACAGGCAATTCACTTTACAATATTATGTGAAACACTTTTGAGACGTCTCAACAACATGATGAGGCAGTATATATCAAATGCAAGGATCATTATTATTATGTGCGATATTCTGAATTTATTTCAAATACAAGGGACTCTTCAGTCCCGAGGATCAGAAGAAAAGATGTCACGATAAATAATGGTGGTTTTAGTAAGGGGGTCAGGTTGTACGATTCTTCTGTAGTTTTCTTTTAATAACATCACTAACAATGGTCACCAAAAAGTGGACTTCAGGGAAGGTCATGGAATGGAAAACAAAGCAGTTTTTGGCTGTGATGAATCACACGTTTCACACATTGGGATGCTTACATGTACAGTAAATACGTTTATTATGGGTACTCTCAGCACTGTGTACACATGGTGACAGCCATGCCAGTCGAGCAATGAGCTGTTGGTCATTTCTTGTTTTATACAATTACAGCCTTTAAGCATTTTATTTCAGCGACTGTCAACAGAATCTGTGCTGAGGATTACATACATTGTAGCTATGCATGTATTCAAATATATAAGGGGGGTTGGAATGTACAATAAAGGAGACAAAAACGCCATAAATGAACAGTCCTCTTCCTGCTTTACAATCTCTTCTTTCATATAAATATACAGCACTTGTCCGTTTTCCATTTTGTTTGCAGCTATTCAAGCAGAGATTGGTTTTAGTGTTTAATTATTTTAATGGCTGGCAGCCCATCGGCCATCCTCGTGACAAGCCTTCGTGAAAGACACCAGCACACTTCCTCCTCTCGTCGGCGGCAGAGCCCAGGTTTGCTCATCCCATTCGGATCAATGGAGGGAAAACAAATGAAAAGTATAAATAAAACAAACACACTTGTGGACTTTCTCACACAAGTTATTTGCCACCAATACTGTCAAAGCAGCACAACTGCAGTGCGGAGTGTGCAGGAGCGGATAGCAGCATTGTGCACTTTGCATAATAAATGGGTTTGTCCTTTTACTGGTCAGTGCTCTCTGTAGCTTGCAGGACACTGTGTTGTTTGTGGGCCTTCGATCGGTTTTTCTTTTTCTTTTTTCTGTTGTTACCACCCTTGCCTTTTGTTCTCTGGCTTTTCTCTGGAAACAGAAAGCAAAACATCAAGGTTACTTTTTCTTAGGCAAACTGGGTTTTCAGACATTTTAGCACAATTAAACCTTGTGCCTGGTAGAATGTAATATTGGGAGTAAGCTCTGCAACAATACTGGAGCTACATCACCCAAATGGCCAGTCTTCAAACAGAAGCCTCGACAGAGATATCCATGGGGTACATCACAGACAAGCTTGATCCTGTCTGATTACCTCAAGGCGCATACTTCTCAGCAAAGATAGTTTCCCTTCTTCCTCTATCTCCCTCCCTAGCCAGGGATCAGAAATAACAAGGATAATTGTAATATTCTCATCAATCAGCTAACTCAGTCTAAATGAGGACCAACATTAACTCTGGCATCTTTCTGGTTCAGATCATTATACATTGTATAATGGAGTCCTGTAGCTCAGTGGTTAGAGCACTCGCTTTGCAAGCGAGAGAACTGAGTTCAATTCCAGGCAGAGGGCAAAACCTTGGGTAAGTTTCTTTACTCCACATGCCTAATAATAATCCCTCCAAAACCAAAAACAATAATAAATTGGTCATTTGCAATCTACGACTGTTTGTGGGACATTGCTGTGCGCAATTGGCTGCCGCGTTCGCCCACAAATATACAGTCAATTCACTTTGCAGTGTGTTCTGTGAAGCGCTTTGGGACGTCCTCCCGACGTGAAAAGCGCTATATCAAATGCAAGGATTATTATTATTATTATTGTAAATACTTCCTTTAAGATTTCCACTGGAATAGGCACAATATACTGACATTTATTCACTGAAGGGTATTCCACTCAGCATTGGATATCACCTTGTGAAAAGAACACATTCCACAGGTTATTTCCACTTTTCTTCACTCTTGTCCTTAGAATCTACACTACTCATTAAATCTGTGCAAACTGGGAAGCATGAACAGAAGGTGGATAGTACCCGGCAAGTAATAGCAACACTCGAGTAGATCAGGTTGTGGTAAAATCATTGTGGTTTACCACAGAATCGACCAATGTCAATACCGATCATCATAGTAAGGTGCCCAGAGAACAGAGATTAACAAACTATTGCATTCAAATAAAAAACAGATGGGAATTACAGGTTTAACCTGCAGTCAAGTTCTTCTGTGTTCTTGTCAGGGAAGGAGGAAGAAAGAGGTCCGAATGTGTATTCAAAAATGAACTTGAAATGTGTGGTAGATTTTACCAAACACAGGAATTTGTGCTAAACTGCACATCTTAGTCAGTGCGATGCAATGAGTTTTCACACTGTGAGAGTGCTACCAACCGAGCCAGGCTGATATCTAGCTTGCTGGACTGACAGTCAGCTTTTCAATGGGACACTATCGGTGCATCTACAATTGGAATGTCACTAATCACGTGACCATTGACATGACTGTCACATCAGAATTTAAGTTAAAAAATGACCATGTCCACAACCCATTCGCAAGACAAGCAAACCCCCGTTACAAAGGAATTGCTCAGACTGTATATTACGTTGACTGTAGATGTTATTCACCACATTGCTTGGTTAAAAAATGACATTCAGAAAAGTAAATGAAAAGACAGATTTAGTCTATTAAAATGTTAATCTTTAAATAAGCACTAGACAGACTTGTGGTCTTCAAACCGAAAGTTTTTCACACATTCACTATTAACAGATTGTTGAATGTCCCAAGTGATCTCCACTGGCTCTAAGAGAATTACTGGTTCTGTAATAGGTACTAAAATGACCCTTTATCATAGAGACACACATTAAAGAAGGTAGGATTAAGGGGCTTTCTAAAACAGAAACACATGTATTCTTCAGTAAAACTTCAGTGCAACTTCGAAGGTTAAATTAGTCAAAGTACACAGGAATCGGACTGTACACCAAGAATCTGGGCTAATCTAACATACCCATCTCTGCACTTTTTTTGATCCTTGGGTCAAAGTAATAGTTTCAGTCCCTTTGTTTTCACATGTCAGCATTGCATTAAGATTTATAAACGATAAGGCAAACTGGGATACCACTTATTAAAATTACTCAGCACTTTAGGGGCCATTAATGATTAAAGAAATCTCCCCTCAAAATACCTGATCCTGCTCCAACAGTAACAAGTTCCAGGAAACCAAAAGATGGGCTAACTGAGCCTAACATGCCAACAGCTGGAGCTGAGCTAGTTCTGTAAGCAATAGCGCACTTCAAGGCTTCATGAAGCAAAACTAAATCAGCCTCGCTTTATAGCAGCATTTCTGCAATAATTTGCTCACCAGTTTTCATATTAATGCTTCCATCTTTTAAACCTAAAATCTTCTGGATCAATTTTGAAAACTTCAAAACATTCGGTCATTGGTACTATTTTATGTAGTTTCTGCTACATTCCAATGTTTGATTTAGAAGCAGGATCGGAAGAATTTGATTCCTTACATCGGAAGGTGCTACATCTTAAAATATTACTGGGAGAAGTTTTTTTTTAAAGTGGGAGGGGAGCAGAAAGAAATAAGAGTTTGAAATTTAAAAAGTACTTCTCTTAAAAAGACAGAGGAAATAAAGTTATTTTACATATCTCTAAACCAAGAGGAGAAACTCTTATTTTAAACAAACTCTTATTTCACCGAGTAAGAGCAGCCTGCGAGAGACCTGTGATGTCCTGGCTTGAAAACAGCCACTTTGGATAATGCATCGAGTGAGTTCATCTGTCTTTGGCTTGTTGCCATTAGCTGAGTGGGCAATTAACATCTTCTTCAGCATTGGAAACCGATCCCAGTGGTCAAACCAATTTAAGCTCAGTGTAGCATGATCTGGCTTTTCGAATGCCATAAAATATTTATTAGAAAAAAAGCAACAGGAGGGGCCATTCAGCCAGTTGGCGCAGTTCGCTGAAACCCTCATACATGCTTTCATTTCATCAAAGCTTAACTATGCTAACTCACTGCTCTTCAACCTTCCCAATTCCTCCCTCTGTAGGCTGCAGATCATCCAGAACTCTGGAGCCTGCGTCCTCTCCCGCACTAGACTCCGTGACCCTATCACCCCCATCTTCGCCCAACTCCACTGGCTTCCTGTCACACAGAGGATACAGTTCAAGATTCTGGTCCTCACCTTCAAAGCCCTCCATGGTCTTGCTCCTCCATACCTCTGCAACCTCCTAACCCCTTACCATCCTGCTTACTCCCTCTGCTCAGCGGGCTCCAGCCTGCTTCATGTCCCCTGCCTCACTCACCCCACTATTGGTGGACGGGCCATCTGCCACTCTGCCCACACCCTCTGGACTTCCATCCTGCAGTCCCTTTGCCTCGCCCTCTCCCTTGCCACCATCAATACCCATCTCAAGACCATCCTCTTCAACCGTGCTTTCGATCTCCCTGCCTCCACCCTGCTTTGTTGTTGTTCTGCCGCTACCCAGTCTTCATACTAAAATGACTTAAGATAATGTAGGTGGAATGTTTTCTGTACAAAGCACTTTGCATCTATTCACAGTTAGGAGGGACCCCTCAGTTCTATACAATATATTCAAGGCTAACTGTTCACTCCCTACTAATCAATTCAAATTATATAGCTAACTATAGGTGGCTCCACCAACCTGTATAGGAATAATTCCTTTGGACTCGCCAGCTCTGGATTATCCCCGAGGCTGGTAAGATCTGGCTCCCATCAAAACCAATGGATTTAATAATAACTCCAGTAAACAGTAAACTGGAGTTACTCCAGTATGCACATGGATGTCTTAATAATCTGCAATCTTTCCCAAAGGAAGAAAGTTATTTTCACACAAAAAGTCCAAGTACTTTATACAATAAGTTCTTCCTCAGGAAAACAAAATGTTATTGGAAGAGAAAAAAATTCTGACACAAAGAAGTGACAGGATCATTACTTTCTCTTTTTCTCCGACTGGCAAATCGTCCTGGCTCTTCCCAACACAAACTACAGACTATCCAGAAATTTTTAGCTCATGTTCTCTCCTCCACTGGCTCCTCACCCCTCAGTGAAATGATTTCATGCTCTTTGTTCTCACAATCAAATACCTACTTAGTCTCACTCCACCCTACCTCTGCAACCTTCTTCAACCACACTGACATAGCTGCTCCCTTCGCTCAATGAACATGGCCTGCTTCAAGTCCTCCAGCCTATCTGCCCCACCTTCAGCAGGTTAGCTTGCAATCATTCTGCTCTTGTTCTCTCAAACTCCATCCCGGTATCCCTCCAACTCACTTCCTCCGTACACTCATACAAACACATCTCTTTGACTGCACCTTTTCCTTTCTCACTCCCCTCAACTCATTCCCCCATCTTGGGTGCCCATCCACCATTGTCAACTGCTTTGAGATGTCCTCGCAAGGCGCTACATAAATGTAACGTGTATTGTATTGAAATTCAGTGGGGGGGAGGGGGGGTGGTAGAGGGGAGGCAAGAGGACGAATACCTATTCTGTCTTCATTAGCATGTTTACAGATCTTGGCAATAGTGAATTTCATTTAAAAATTTCATTCTAAGGTTCATTGATTTATGGAACAGCAGAAAGTACAACAATCTCTTCTGTCCATAAATTACTGATCAAGCCCCTTCACAAGCATGTGGAGTCCTGTAGCTCAGGGGTTAGAGCACTCGCTTTGCAAGCGAGAGACCTGAGTTCAATTCCAGACAGGGCGAAACCTTGGGCAAGTTTCCTTACTCCACACTCCTAATAATAATCCCTCAAAAACCAAAAATAATAATAAATTGGTCATTTTCAATCTACGACTGTTTGTGGGACATTGCTGTGCGCAATTGGCTGCCGCGTTCGCCCACAAATATACAGTCAATTCACTTTACAGTGTGTTCTGTGAAGCGCTTTGGGAACGTCCTCCCGATGTGAAAAGCGAAAGGATTATTATTATTATGTGTGGTTGAGGGGGGGAAAGAAAGTGAAAGATGTAGCAAAGAAAACCCATTATAGGAAGCAAGCAGTCAAAGGGCAATGGAGTAATATATTCCTATTTCACTTCCTTATGCAGATTGAACTGATCAGATTAAACAAGTTCA